AGGATACACGTACAATTCGACGTAGCTAACAAGTTTATTTATTTCACATATTTAATTTTATGTTATAGAAACATACTCTCTTTATATTTTATCACAACAATACGTCTGACACTTACTAAACTACAAAATTCATACGTTGTATGATGTATGAAAAAAAAATAATACAAAATACATTCCTATTCTTTTAAAGATGTTGGGAAGCTCTGAATGATATATAAACACTAGGAAAGATATTGCAAATACGATTAACACGTAATTATATTCTCGTTAAAATTTATAATTACTTTTATTATTTAAAATAAACATTTCGTCGTGTTTTCATCATACCTATTAACCATGATTGCAATTACATTGCATTAAAATGTACTATTATGAATGTAGTTTATAAATCGCTAAGATCATTAATGATCTTGTTCTTTTCTCTTTGGTGCGTATCTCAGTTGCTTTTGCTTAAAATACAGTAGAATTTGTCGAAAAATGCATGACAAGAAAACAACTATTACAAGTTTTAAAGAATAAATTCACCATCTAATGTAGCCTTTGTACTCTTCGATTATGCTGAATCTTTTAATAGTTTCATATCCTAGAATTATTGAAAAACTAAAACAAGCAGACTGTACAAGGCGCGCGGAAAGTCCCTTTGTGAACATTTGCAATCTTTCTTCCATCCATAAAACTTTGAATGTATTAAACATACTATCTAATCTTTGTACTTGTAACCTTGCCCGTACGATATCTAAAGGATTTGTAATAATTGTTGTGGTAAATCCTCCTAATGTACCAGCAAGAGCTTGAATAAACAAGTGAGAGACCCACTCTGGGAACAATTTTATAAGCTCATCTATCGACAAAAATGAAAAAGTTATTATCTAAATTCAATTTATTTTTCATGCTATCATTTTAAAGCAATTACCCTGGTATGATGTATATAAGCCCCACCAAAGAGCACTATTGGGAACATAAGCGCACAATGATGCGACATATCCTCTATAAAAACCTCTATAGCCATCTCTCCGATAAATTAACCTGATAATATCTGTCGAAATTTGAGTCCGGGATTTTCCTGGCTCAAGAATTAAACCCAATGGATTTATACCCATCTGTAAATGACATGTGAAAGATAAAAAATAAAATAAATGAATATTCATATTTTTATCTTCGCATTTACCTGATCTATATATCTTCCATGTTTATTATAATTGATCCCCAGAACCATTAAGTGCTGACTTAAAACATCAAAGGGAACTACTATTGTCTGTCCTACCAAACTAGCAGCTGCACCAGCAATTATTGCTTTTACTCGTGAGTCTATATTACCTATAACATTGTTCTGTCCAAGTATATGACGCATTCCTTCGTAAGTAGATACATAAAATACACCAGATACAGTTTGTATAGAACTTATCCAAAATCCTCTATACAGACCACCTATACCTTCTACCTTGTAAATCTTTCTGCAAGCATCTAGCATTCCTGGAAGATGTTGATATTTAATACTTTATCATTTTAATTAAATTGTATTTAAAAATTTACCATTGTACATGTTATTATGTTTCTGAACTTGTAAGCGGGTTTTAATTACTGTTAAGGGATATAGACAGCAGCGCACAGAAAATGATGAGAGCATGCTCAATGGGAAAAATTTTGTCTTATCCATCATTTCCCATTCGATGGTACGTATGAAATGTGGCGTTTCTACTGCAGACATCTTGTAATTTTATGACACTATTAAATCCACTATAATTATAACACTTATGTAGTAAGGATTGTGGGTTCCTCTGTTTAATTTGATGCTGCATATCTCATTGATATTTTTTGGGAATTAATACCCAAATCATTTACAAAACTGATAAGAGAAAAATGTTTATGTAAGTATATTTTTTCTACTTTATGCTTTTAAAATTATTTAGCACTACAAAGAAATAACCTTCCAAGAAACTTTGTCACACGAGGTAGTAATAGAACAAACGCACTTCAAATTTGTCAGAGCTTCAAATTTGTCATGTACTATCATCTATTTATCATATATCCAATTTGTCATACTATATAGAGAACAGAGATAATTCATTTAAATAAAGTCTCTAGTTAATTTTATAATGAACTACAACCACGATGCAACAATAACATTATAAATATATTTGAATAAAAACTTCACTACCATAGTCACAACTCAAAAGTCATTGCCAACAAAAATAAATATAAAAATTATCAATCGACGAAAGTTTAGAAAGTCATACACTGTTATAACTTACAGAGATGCAATACTTGATATAATAATGGAACTCTTCCAGTGGTCATAACATCATTAATAGCTATATTACAATAGCAATAACAATCTTCCACAGTATCATGAATTTATCCTAACCAAATACATTCTTATATTATGCAATGCATAGAACTATTTTAGTTCCAATCAGTAGCTTATAATCATTGGTTTAAGTAAAAAGTTAAACGCATGAGATAAAGAAGTGTTTATGAAAATCTGATAGTCTGATCTAAATTTTCTTATGATTCATGATTCTACGCACGTGTAAAAATATTCGCATAGCAAGTAGCGCAATCCATGAGTGGACTTGTGAAACATTATCGTACCAAGATCAAAAGACACCGGGAGATGTCGCTCGTGGTATCTTTAAATTGCAACATTGACTAAAATGTATATGTAGAGGTTTATTACAGCAAAAGATAGATTCGACATTATGCAAATATATGTACTATATACCATGTAGACTTCGCGTCTCACTTTCTGAGATACGTACCCGAATTTGCTACAACGAACATAAAAATTATATTCAACTCAATCATCGAACGCAATGGAATCAGTAACTAGAAAAGCTCTTCATTGATTAAACGTATAAGCTCAAGAGAGCACCTAATGAATTCTTTAGTAACTCATTAAAGAAAATTACATTAGCTATAGTTGGAATTAAAAATAAATTTTACCATAAAATGACGAAGAATATACAGGCAGCCACATGGAAGACTACCATCCAAAAACAGGAATCTGCTTCCACAGTCCAGTGGAAAAAAATTGAGCATGATATAGACGCAACACTACTTCAAAAAACGCGATCGTTCATCAGCGCAACTCTACTTAGAAAAGCAATTAAAACAATCGCGATAGACAATCGCAACACTAATTCTTAAATCAAAAATTAAATTAATATGTATACATATATGAAAAAAAGATATTTCAAATATTATGTTGCTACAAACTGCAATACTATAAAATTAATGAAATGTTAATATTTCTACATACAACTTTGAATAAAGGAAGAAACTTTAAAGGAAACAAGAAAGACTTTAATATGTACATACTACTCTCTAAGAAATTCTGACAATTCATGATAAAGATTGCTAAGGACTATCGCGATGTCATAATTCGCAACACTAAAACAAACAGGATTATAATTTTTTCGCAACTCTAATTCGAACCATAATCAGTCTCTCGCGATACTAATAGAAAGCCGCGATATTATTTCGTAACTCTAATTCAAGCCGTAATTAATCTCTCGCAACACTAATAAAAAGAAACCGCGATTTGCCCAATGTGATGATGGACCGATATATACATCAGCCAAAAAAAAGAGCTACTACTACTACAAATACTAAAAGCAAGCATAGTGACAAAGTAGTAACGAGAATAACTTTCCATGCTCTGGATGACCCAGAGGATGAAAAGGTATTGGTAGTTGCCCTCTTGAACGGCAGATTGCCGGGCCTCTTCGGCTCATAGCCTCTTCCTTCTTTCTTCGGGCACAATGCCCGCTGAAACTTAAATCTAGGCTCGAGTCTTTCTAATCGCAAAATAAAAAATAACGTATAAGTTATAAAAAATATAAAGTATAGCTATATAAAGTATAATATATCTAAATAAATAATATTATTAGAATATACGATACGTATTTCGATATTATTATAGGTAATATAATAGTTGATATTAATAATATTGTATTATTTATAATCTCCTATACATATTTAATAGCATCGTTATTGTAAATTGAAATTTATAAGTATGTATCTACTTTAAAGTTATAATGAATAGCAAAAACGACGCAATTCCACAGCCTAACCACATACACACAATGTGGAAAATACGTCGCGAACGATACCCTAACCCAACGTCAGTCGCTGAAAAATTATTAAACTTATAAAATAGTCATCATGCCCATTACCTTTCTCCCACCCAAGTAGCACCTGGGTTCGTGAGTGAGATCCTGGCAACGAACATGGGAGGGGTTAAATCTGAAAATCCTACGCTAAAAATATGATTAGCATATCTATTAAATTTTCTATCTTGCGGGCTAATATTCTTTCATTTTGTAATCTCATTTCATTTCAAATTTTAATGACTCTATTTATGCATACTTTAAATTACTAATTTAATAAATTACTAAAAAGCTACACTTGAATGAGAGGAAAAAGAATAAAGCATATATTTATAAAAAACAGACCAGATTAATATTCTGTAAATACAAATAGTAATAAATTCAATGTATAATAATAAACATAGTCTCAATGAAATATTAATATAAATAACCTCAGGCGATTCCTTCATCAAAACTTATCTTTGGAAACAAAAAAACGTTCAAAACTTGCTTTGATTCTGAAATCTGCCTGTCGCGAAGTGTCTTCTTGCACATGAAATTTGATACATCCTTGGACGAATGAAGTTACTCTTAAATATCTTTATATTGCACATTTCTAATTTTACTAAAATTATACTCTGTATGAACACGAATAACAAATTGATCCATACTATCGTAGAAAAGGAAATAGAATAAAATTAAATATATAACAAGTATCGTCATTAATAATAATAATAATTTCTATCATGATTGTAATTTCCCATAATAAAAAGTCTGATGATGTCAGACTTCTTCACTACAAAATACTTAAGTCATTCTGATATTCGTTACTTATTTCAATATTCATACATTATTTATCCATTACATACGTACACTTGTATGCATATTTATGCATACAAGTTGTATGCAAATATGTATAATAAATACAAATTGCGATTTTCACTCATATATACATAATCGAGTTATCAATATTAATATTACACTCGTTTCAATGATTAATGCATTATTACTAATATTAAAAAACGCGATATGCAAGAAGACCTATCCTGAGCTAATAAATAAAACACAGAAAAGAAAATGTTACTACTCGCAAATATAATAAATACTTGCGGTCACTATGCTCGTTAAAAAATCTACGTAATACAACTAGTCACCTATGTCGATTCGGACCTTTCATCCTACGACATGAGTGAGTGACCAGAGGAACAAAAATGCATGCAACTCACGATTAGATGCGAAGAACGTTGTCGTCGATATTGTTGTAACCGCAATTCCTGTAACCTGTAACAAAGCAGAGAATATTATAATTAATTTTCAAAGACATTGTTTCTTATGTGGAAAGTTTTAAATAATAAAAGTTTTTTTAAAAATGTTCAAATCATGTTTTCTAATTCATAATAGAGGAATAAAATTAAATGAAATACAATACAAGGTTACTTACATTTTTGGCTTTTAAAGCACCACAACATCCTTTCCAGGCAACAGAAAGAAGAGGAAGGAGTGAAAAACCTTTAACAAGATATGGATTATAATAATTTGTTTTGAAAAAAACAATGCTTATTGTTCAAAGCATTTCAAATAATAAAATATAAAACTCTATAAAAGCTAGTAATTCTAATATAAAATTTAAAATCATATCTTATTTTTTAATTAATAATAGTTAACGTAATATCACAATTAAATAATAATCATTTAATAGTAAAATATGTAAAAATTCTTACATGCTTAGTTTTGAAGCACCACTACATCCTTCCAGAAAATCTGATAAAAGTGGAAGTTGAAAAACCTGAAACAAAACATGTGAGATATTATAATTTGTTCTCGAAAATAAAGTAATTTTTGCTTATAAAGTTTAGGATAGTGAAAAATAAGAGTCTATTTAAAGTTGAAATTTTAATAATAACAAAAATTTTATTTCAGTTTAATAACAGTTTAAATAAAATACGAATATTAAAATAGGGTACAATATAAGAAAGTACTTACATTCTTGAGCTCCAGGAGAGGCTTTATCTTCTTGTGAGACTTGCGACTCTAGCACCGAAAGCGAATATTTAAAAAAAGAAATGTACAAAAAAAAAGAAAATAAAAGACTATCAACGCGTTCGTTTAAATAACAATCGGCGAACACGCTGACTCTATTTTCGCGCCTGAGCATTACCGTTAACTTTAATGAGAGACATTATGCTCTAACAAATATTAAAAATTATATACATACCGCATCAAACACTGATTCTTCCGACCGCATTGCGCGTGATCACAAAAATTTTCTGGGAAAGAACTTTATTAAGGAATAACGGTGGTACTTTAGGGCTATTTTACGTATTTCTCTCCTTTCTTCTATCGAGTCTTCATGAAAATACTGCTTTTCAAAAATGAAAAACTAATTATTATTCATTGACCACAGATAAAAAGATATTATATTAAGATTATAACAAAAAATATATATTTAATATATTTCAAATATTTTTGAACATTACAAAGTATTTCCTACTACACTGTTACGTAATTATAAATATTTCACGACTGATTTATAAAAATTGCCCGCCAAATTAAATGTCCGGCATTACTATTTGAAATACATATATACACTTATTCGACATGCTTCGTACGTGACTTTGTAATAACAAAATATGGCGTACTTTTCACGACATTTAATAAAGCTGCGCAGTACGAAAAATATTCGATGCGCAGAACGCGTTCAAACCTATCTATGCTAACGTTCTTTCTAGAATGTATAGAAATTATTTAAAAAAGACAAAATGACAATCTTATCACAGAGAATTCAATAAAACGAATAAATTATATGGAAATAAAACAATAATAAAGATCAAATTACCTCGAAAGTTTATTATATGATCTATCAACAAAGGGGACAAACAGAAAGTAAACAAAGAAAAAAGATAATTAAATTGTAATGAATTATTAAATAAAAACGTACGTTAATTATACGAAGTTAACAACAGCGTCGATTTAAGCGATGAAAATGTGAATGAAAATATTACGTAAGAAGGATATTGACACTTGTCGCGGAGTAATGAACACACATCTAATCACTCCGATTTTCAACATTAAACTGACGCCCTTCACCGCAGTTTGCCCTACGAATTTCAAAGTCGAGGAGTGGGGAGGGAGGGGATCTCGTCGGTAAATCGAGAACGAGCACGTCCAATTTCTGGAGAGAGATGTTTTCGGTAGCAATTCAGTAGCATAATATATTCGAAAGAAAAACAAACTGAAAGATCAGATGCACATGTTTACTTTCTTTTAAACACCTGTGGCCTAACATAATTTCAACGAACTAAATGTATAAATTTAAAACGTAGAGATACCTGCACTTAGAAATTTAATATAATATATAAAAATGAATTAATATATAGAAAGCCTAAGGATGATAAATTTTAGATCGAAATAGAATAATATTTTTATCGAAAAATTATAAGTATATTATGACAGGGAAAAGTCAGGAAGGAGAAATGTCAAGAACAAGGAGTAAAGGGCAAGAGAAAGGGAAAAGGGAAATGAGAAGAGGGATGAGAGAAAAGAGAAAAAATTATGGAAGTAGAGCAAGACCACTATAAATAAAATAAATAAAATTCTCAACAGACGATTTATGAATTATCATTCACAATTAATGAATGATTTGTACAAAAGAAACAACCACATATTAATATAAAGCAATATCTAAAATCAAATTATATTTCTGCGAAAGGTTACAATGCTATTGGTGATCTTGACAGTCAAGTAGGAAACCAACGAAACACGAATAAGACGAATTTAAGAAACTACTTAATTTTGATATAGTACTGTCTGACGACAAATTATTGAATAAACGTATATTAATTAAATAAACCTGATAGTAGTTTATAAAAAGTGAAGAATTACTACCTGGTGAATATCGCACTTCGAACGGGATGATACATGCAAACGCCATGCTTTCCGACACTAAACTGATGCTTTATCCCGCCAAATATTCGACTAACTAACTTCTGATTGGTCGAGGCGGTGCAGTTTCTTTTCGATCGAAATTGGCACGAGAAATTGAAATATTGAACGCGGGGCAAATACTTCATATAATAAGATTACAATTCTTCTTACTATAATATATACGAGTTCTCGCTCATACAATAGTAGTTCATGGATAAATGAATTCAATCATCAAAAGTTTTCTTAACCAAGCACTAATTAAAATTTTGTTTAAGTAAATGGAGCTTGTCCAAACGGATTAATTACATTCTATACAACGTTATAGATCGTAGAGGGCGTAATAAAACCTCTGAATGGTCGGTATTGCAGAACATGTGTCACGACACAAACGAGGTACAAGATCGACGTGACATGTAATGATTTTCGTGTCCTGCAATGATATATAAATATACATAATATCTGGTCTATCCTGTATTTAGTAAATGCATATTATGTAATTCCTATATTCGTCGTAGGAGGCCATAGCAAATTACAGAGAGCGTAAGAAATACAGTGATCTTTTTCAGGGTCGGTATTTCAGAACGAGAGAAACAAAATCCCATGTAATGGTTTTAACATAAACTAGGATATCTAGGATACGGAAATTTTAGTATGTATGTATATCATGTGATAATTCTTTATCTTCCTTTTCTATTTATATTTTCTTATCTATTGATATTACGTTCTAGTATGTGCACTATTCATACAAAATCATTTGATTAAAGCTAATCAATTAAGAATGAATTTTCCAATGAAGGCTTATCAGCTAAAGGAAAATATTCAGAAGGATTCCTAAATTATCATACAACATGTACAAGTTCTGGCAATAGTGCAATAAAGTATTGCAAAATCAGAAAAAATTAAATTTGTCATTACTTTCCCACATAACATTCTAACATATTCAATTCAACACTCATCAAAATCATCCCTCTCATAGAAACTTTTAATATATCATACATTTTTGAAATACTTGAAAACCTGATAATTTAATTTCAACCAAGAATTCACTTATTAAAAAAGAAGTTCAAATCCTTTTGTAAAAGTCGGTACCCACAGAAATGCCATTCAGAACATGCAATATCACGGAGTTACGAAAGCAAAGAATCTCAACGAAGAGAGGTGTTCTCGTAGGTGTTATCGAAGCACAAAGCTTCCTGGTATAAGAGAAGGTTACCAATGATTTCGAGGCCCCGCCTACCAAGCAGGGGTTGGAAGCAACCCCTAGTCGCTCGAGTAGCTCGCGCAGGGCTGATTTCTATACCACGTTGTGGGCGTAGACGTACCGTAGACACAACCCCCGATGCATATACCCTGTCTTTTCACTGTTCAGCGAGATCAAATCACTCGTCTCAGTCCTATCTTTGATCTTGACGGTGCAGCAACGTGACTTTAAAATTACGCGACAGTTCGTGTGATCTGTTCGTTTATCAATACTTTTACCCGTGTCATTTTCGTGGAATCTAGTGACGAACGTTTTTCTTCGACAAAAAGGAATCAGAAGAAGAGTTGGGTAACAAGTATGAATCAGGATCAAGAAGTACCAGCCACGACTACAGATTTGGCTAGGCTGGTAAGATAAAAAATATACAATGGTACTCCCTTATTGTTCCATACTTTCACTATACATAAGAATTTGGAAACGTTCATTACATAATAATAAATACGCGTATTTAACCTACACAGGCAAATACAACTTCGATTAAACAGTGCAATAATCGCATTGATAACTTTAAGACATGAGCGTATCTGACCCACACGGACGAATACTATTTATATCATACAATACAATAATTACACTGGTAATCTTAAGATCCGCGTGTCTGACTGGCAGATATACACAGGCAGGTGCTACTTCAATCAAACAACGCAATAATTGCTCTTCTATGTCTAAGAAGAAACAATACTTCCCTTGCCAAGTGTAGGAATAACGATAATTATTAACGATCTATTTTATACGTGAAACTCTTCTGTTACCGAAGTATACTTCAAGCCCATCAACGTTTCATCGCTCTGTTGCATCCATCATTACATATTCAAACAACACCATAAACAACCCAATAATTACGAGATACAGTTAGTGTTTGTCCATCGTAAAAGTTAAAAAGTCGACCAGATAGACAACAACTTGATCAACGTGACTCCCATTTCCGGTTTTCTCCCCATGGCGATACAATGGAGTCATAAGCGTGGACAGTGAGCATAGTCAAAGTCAATGAACGCATAATGCATCGTACTCGCGCGATGATCCTCGAGTGTCGAATTGCCTTGGCACGCGCCACCACGCTCCGATGGTTCGTCCCACGGGTGCCACCCCTTTGTGCCCCCTAAACACGTAATTGTCGCCACCATTCAACCCTCCTGGTCTCTCTGGTGCGGGATACCCCCGTGCACGGGGCTACCACCGTGACTATGACACCGGTGAGCCGTGGGTGGTCGTCGGACACCCTTCGTAAGAACGAAGGGAGAGACGACGTGAAGCACTCGCTCGCGGAAACACTTGATTTATGTTTGTTGATTCTAAAAATCACTCGATTCCCACACACCAGCCCCGCTGCACGGATCCGCCGCTTAATTTACTCCTCTGTATCAGCAACATATGCTGACACTCGAGTTTCCCATGATTAAAAGCCTCTTCTTCAACGGGGCGCGTTTACCACCATGTGAATTTACCTGGGACGTTTCGATGGTGAATTAGATTGCGGATTCTAATGCAAATTCATATTTTTGAGAATATCAGTTAAAAAGTAGGATCTTGGTAGAAAATTGATTTATCTACCAAATATTATAGACGGCACTGCTCTTTGGATATTTTTCTTCGTATTATATGTGTTCTGTGTAATTTTGCATTTTCTAATTTCCCATAAAACCGCGGCTTAACGATGATACAAGATACTTTTGTTCTTTCAAAGAATACGAAGATAGTATTCTGGGATTGTATGAGACTATGATTACAGCGGATGCGTATTCTGCCGAATTGTTATTCGGGCAATTACGTTAGAGCAATTAAATGTCAGATGTTTCATTCGCCGGGACGATAGTTCATCAGGATACACATGCAGTGTAACCATAGCCTAACATTACAACCATAAACCACGGCATTGTATAATATTATGGATAATATTCGTGGATTGCATTGAGAAGTACAAAGATACATGGATGAATTGTTTTTTTCTTAGGAAAAACGGAAAGTCAATGCGTGTATCGAGAGAGCAATTAGTAGATAGACTCCGTCGGCGACACATTGTAATTGCGAGTCCCGCTGTCATCCACGGTATTGTTCGTATTCTGTCCTTCGAAACCATCATTGTCTTCGCACCCTCGTCGAAGAAAGCGACGGAAAGAAAAAAGGGCGAGGTTTTCTCGTCAAAGTGGCAACGCCTTTCGCTTCTCCTAATTGATCAAATTGGACGACGAGTCTTTGTTGAAATTGGACGATCTTTAATGAAGTGAAAATCTTACTTTCATCCTTGCTACGTCCAAAGAATACACTCTTTACTTCATCAAATCAAAGTTTCACGTCTTAATCCAACGATCCTCGTCCAAAACGGTGTATCAAATCTCATAAGAGCCTTTTCGGTTTTTACACAAATCGATGAACGAAATCGACAAGATCCGCTGATAGAAAGGGGAGTCCGTTTGGAACGTGTTGTCTGCTCGATGACTTTATTATAAACCGAACCGAAGTGCGCAATTACGAGGGTGGTGTACGAAGGGAATTGGGGTGACGACCCCTCGCAGCATCATCAGGAACGATGGGGCGTTCCCCACGATTCATGGGTATCTCGTTTTCACTAGATACAAACGTACGAGTGCGTTTGTTCGTACATGACACACGTACCCCAAACGATCCACTTACAAGCGCGTCTTTTACACGGAGACGCGTTCCCGATGGGAAAGGTCAGGGGGAGGAATGGTGAAGAAAGGTGAACCTACGGAAAAAGTTAAACGACACGCGACCGTGTTTGCGCGTTTTCCTTACGAGTCATTGCATCGTGAATGCACTCGATTAACCCCTGATCGGCTAAAGTAGCATTGGAGGATCTGTAAAACGCGCACATTGTCAAGATAGGGAAATTTTATGACTCAAAATAAGACGAAGATCGAGAATGTGCAAATATATTGAATTGTTCGGAAAGATTATAAAATAAAAAGGATTCAATTTGATATAGGATATTTTTCTAGAATGTTTTTTGCTGTGGAGAAATTTTTTTATTAATTATTAATAATAAACGTAGGTTTTATATAAAGAAAAACAGAAGCAACATTTCATGGAATAATATATGACCTGTTTCTTTTGATGTTATGGATCAAGTAGACTTCTCCAAATAGATGTTAGAAAAAATTTTATAATAACACGAATCAAATAATTATGGTATTATGCTATAGTGTAATATTCCAATTAGCGTCCAAATAATTATATCATATCCACGTACTTGGCAAAAATTTCTGGTAAATATTCATTTTCTGATACAATCAAATTCAATGCAGAATGCAATTCACTGTCAAATATGTTACGAACTTTTCGAACAAGAAAATTTGGTCAAATTTGATAAGAAAGGGTGGGCTACGCATAAAACCGCACGATACATTCTTTATCCCTTATTTAACGCTGTCGTGCCGCTAAATATCATTTGATATCGGGTTGGCGGGATTAAAGATTGAACGTAATATCGGGGAATGTAATTAAAATTTATATTAGAGGGCACAGCTTGTGGATTACAAGTGCTGAACCATCACGGCGACTAATTATAAATGACTATTAATTGCAATCAGAGGAAAATCCAAGGGACGAGGCAATGAACGTAAGACTAACCTATGAAACTGTGAAAGAGGAAGTTGATTACGTCTCTATAAATGATAATATCCTGTCGAATTAACTATAAAAGAAAAATGATGGATAATTTAGCAATAAAGTGATTATTTTATTATTACGTTTATCGTCAACGATATATTTTTATCGTGAATTTATGCGATTAGATATATTTCAAAAATTAACGGGAAGGTATCTAAAAAGGTATCCTGTTAACTCTATTACGTTCTTCAAATCATTTCCCACTCAATCAAGTTTTTCATTCCTAAATTTATATCTTCTAAATTTGATTAAAATATGAAAAAATCGATGTACATGATTTCTTATTTTAATCTCATATTAAAAATTGTCTTAAGACGTTGAAAGTCCCTTTATTTGTTGAAACAAGAGTAAGATTGATACAGAGAAATCCGAGGGCTGCAACAAAGTTAATAAAAAGATTGAAAAGGATACTGAGCATGTTTGAAGTTTTCTTAAAATCAAGTACGATGTCTTTCGATTTTAAAGTGTAAGCGATCGGCTGAGAGACCGCAGTGAAACTTTATAAAGGAAAAGCAGACGGCGACACGGCGTTATTGGAATTTCCAAAACCGGTAACCGGCTTTACCACTAGATTGCTCCGCAAGGAGGAAACCATCCAATCGTTCACCGGATGTCCTCCTTGCCTCTTCTCTCGCACGTTCTCACTCTCTCTCTTCCTCTTTCTCATTGTGCCTGCTATACACTACTTTACTTAAAATCTCGTTCCTCGCTATTCCTTTCTGCTCCAAATCGCTTCGTTCTCTTTCCTTTCTTCTTGCAATTTTACATCAGTTCTGCGTTGATTGTCTTCGTCTTTTTTCCTCGCCCGATAGAACGCTCGCAAACGAGAAAGACTTTTCACTCCCGACTCCCGATATTTGAAATGATGAAATTAAAATGCAGAACGCTGGCTTTCTACGATAAAATGTGGAAATATTAAACTACGATTGAAGTCAAGTACGTACGTACATAAAGATCGCTGTCTTCGTTTTACAGTTTAACAAAGAATGAAATAATATCTACTGGAAATTGAACGAAGAGAATATTTAAGGATCACGGGAAAAATACCCGATTAATACTACTTCGTATAGAAACGAACGTTTGCTACTACAAAGCGCTATTTTAACACAGACATCTATCTTTCCAGCCAAACGAAGAATTCAACAGGCTGAACGAACCACTTCAAACAGTTACCACAGGATACTGTCCCAGTAACTACTCCGTGACACAACCAAGTACCGAGGAGAAGCTGCACCCTGGTAAGTAGAACATGTATTTTAGGTGGGAGCGATATAGCAAGGTCGTAAAGTAAAGCATTAAGTAGGATCACTAATTGATCTAACCGTACCCAGAGCCGTACGTATTTTCTACGACTACATCGAGTTTTTAAAAGTTAGAAACGAGAAGGTATCAATTCATATTCTATGTATAAATCAGATAGAAAACCATCCTCCTCTTTTAAGAAGACTTTCGTTAGATATACTGCAAACGAAGAATTGAGTTAACATTATACTTGCCGGTCACAAGTACGATATTTAATACGAATTCACTGCTTTTATATTTCCTAGTTACTTTATTATAAATCTGTCACTTCATTCCAGATAAAACTTACCCAATGTAACGAATATGTGTTCTAACGAATCTATCGTCTATCTATCTGTCTTATTTATCTTGTCTCGATTATCGAAACTTGTAAACTTTTACTACTGACCGATTTTACTATCTTACTATATATCGTTTCCACCTACCATATCAAAACGCATGAAACATAGAGAAGACATCAAACGCTACAGCGAATGGAAGTCGTTCGATATTTCGATCAGTTTCGAATTATTCAATGAGACTTTTCCTGAACGAAATCGAGAGACGAGAAAGTCGAGGGCGGTCCGTACGGGTCACCATCCCCCGCTCGACGATTTTGAAGCTCTTTGATACGATGTTGCTCGGGAACACCGGGCCTCCGTCTTGACATGGAGTCTCGACTGCGTCTTCGTGCAAACACGTACACGTACACTGTACACGAAAGAGATCCACGCAAGCAAGAAAGCGTAGCGCGGCCCGAAGCACGTGCAGGATGTTCGCGAACTGTGTACAACGGGGCGAAGGGGGAACCACCCCCCGAAGAGAGCCTGTCACCGACAGGCAGTCGAGTCAATATCTTTATATAGTCGGATCAGGGATGATATTATTTTCTACGGTGCAATTACGTTTTAAGGCCGCACGAAACGGTAGAAAGTATTTCAAGGGGCTGACGATTTCTAGACTTTGTTTGTCAGGGCAATACAGATCGATTAACATAGGAATTGTAATGAATCGACGTTCTTTGTTCTGTGTTACTACGACTTAACGTTTTGGAGGAAAATATAGTTACGACTGGACTGAGAATTTTTATACAAATTTACATTTTTGTAGTTTCGATTTAGATAGAAATTTGTTTTACGTATTAGAAACTATAGCGGGCACTCTATTCTGCATGCTTTATATATAATATTTCTGTATAATATGCATTCTGTGCACCTTTCGTATAAATATATGGAAAAAATTTCCAGTCTAGTTATCATTAATTTTCTCATGCTTACGTTGGGGCAGAAAGAAAAAAAGCTGTGGCCATAAGGTTGATCTTGTTCTCTTAACAAATACAGAAAATTACTTCGTTGTGCGATAACATGAATATCTACACCGTTACATAATAATTACGCACGGTTTCGTATACGCTTCTATAAATTTCTAATTGATCGCGAAAATGTGAATTAAGATTTGAAATTAATAGAAACGTATGGCCACAGAGTCGTATCAATTTGCTCGATGACCTAATGAAGAGGACGAGTGAAATTTGCACCATCGGTCAATTAATCCCTCCGGTGTCGGCAGTTTTACTTGCAGCCTTGACCTAGAAACGTGACACCACGACGGGAAGCCTCAGGACGAATTCAATAAGCAACGTGTTATCGCCGCAAAGAGCCCCATGGGGTAGTTGGAGCCAGTCGTACCCCCATAGGATTCGTAACCACCCTAGCAGCGTCTGGGCACAGTGATTGACACTTTATATCTAACATTGGCATGCCGTGGTGTGAACCACCAGTCAGGATGGTCCGCCTCCACCTAACTCAATCACTGCCTATAATGCTGCAATTTCTCTATCGTAATCACGTTACGCCCTACCCAGCCTCCCCATCCACTTTTCGGCGACGATTCGTCGCGAAGAAATATATTGAAACGTCGACACGAAAGAACGAACCTTCTAGCTTTCTCCTCTCGTTTTCGAGACTCGAACGGTTCTTCTCCTCGCGAGAAATGGAAGCAGAATTGCGACAGGAATATTCCGTTGACGATAGCTATTAGAGTGACTTAAAATACGACGCAAACTTATAAAATTTATTTTATTTCTTCTTACGGATATGGAAAAACGATATCAACAAATAAAAGAAAGAGAATGAGTAATTAACTTGTCGGTGTCGTCAATAGTCTGTATCTAAATAAGGCAATCGATACGGATAAAAATTTACGTCATCTACGAAACCATCCTTGTCGTAACTCGACTTATCTCAAACGTAATAAAGAAGGAGACAGAAAAGGACATTTTTTATAACAAAGAAAATATGTTATATATGATATATAGCAATTTAAAATCCAGAATCTACGACAAAAATAGCAAAGATTTATTAAAGATAGATGTCTTAAAATTTCCAAGTGGCTGAATATATCTTAACGATATTATTTTTCGTCTATAAGTATCCAATCTCGATAGGTTTCTCAAATTTTGGGTCGTACGCATCGTTATTACAACTCGCGACAAAACGCGTTATTACCCACGAACTATGAAGCCAAGTAAATTCGATTCGTCAGACTGGATTGTGATTATGAACAAAACAAGGTTACTGACAAGTGGCTACCCGTGGCGAATCCTAGAGGCCCATTAAACAGACCCCACGTAACATACATCTCTGCCGCATTCTTATGTACATGCCTGCATTGAAAGGGGTTGTTTTTGCTACTGATTCATCCCCCAACATTCAGTCTTTGTTCCGTCTTATGGCTCTTTCGCCGAATCTTATTACAGCTCAGACATCGTGTTTCATCATGACATAATTATCTAGAAATCGTTTTACACCCCAAAGAATATACGCTTAACTCGTTTGATTACCCTTCCGGAAGGATGACTAAAAGGTAATTTTATATTTTGCAATTCCTATATTATCCAGTATCCTCTGGAACGATTCATCTTTCTGACGTCAACTAGCAACAATACAAAAGTTTAAACCTTTAATAAAGGCATAATGTATGTATCTTAGAAAACGCAACAACAAATTCGGATATATCCGACGAAGAAGGGCTGGTCAAGAGTCTGGGTGAAAGTCTCGGTGGAGGTTCGGAAGATAGATTTTTCTTTATCTGTAACGGTTTCTGAATTAGCTCTTCAGGGGTCGAATTTCGACGGGTAATTTCATACCCCTCCAACCTGTGTTACTGCAGTTAAAAAGAAAGTATCTATTATTTTTGGCGGTTCTTCAAACTTATAAAGTTTCATCCAAACCGGGGCGGAATCAATCGTGACCTTTCCTTGTGAGTCAAAAATAAATAGAAATAAAGAAATTTTATAGGCTTAATGGATATGGTGTTCGTACCATATTGTAATAAAAATATGTTTTTACACAATTGTAAAAAAAAAATACAAATATAAGTACCGAGAATAAAAATCAAAGTGACAGGGAAAGCAATTCTTTCGATGTTTCGAGCATTGTACATCGTTCGAATAATTATCATCTAACATGCTCGTATTATTTTTGACGATAATGGACGTTCATTGGATTTGACGAAGTAATACGGTAGAATATGTGAGGCATTAATTTCAGGCTGGGATAATTATCCCCGAGTAACCATAAATCATTATACCACCAAGTAATTCCTTGCTTGGCTCGTAAAGTAAATGTATGAAATAAGAAAGATAACGTTTAGATCTTGTCGCATCTCTATCAGTATAGAATAACAATATAGCATTCTTTTCGTAATTTCTTATCGATTGACCTATATAAACGTAGGCTATCTTTGTAACGCTGTAGATAAGAAATTAGTAGAATATTTTAAACATTCTATTTATTCAAGTAAAATATTAATTTATAAAATCAAAATTTCATTGCTCTTGGAAAATGAAGAATTTGCAATAATACTGTTACGTTTTAAAAAAGAAGTCACTTAAAAAATCAATGTAAAACTTGATTTCAGAGAATGAAATATACCCCACACAGGAATACAGACAAGAGCCATGGCTTCAAGATGGTAAGTTTTGTTATAAATAACTTCTATCAGAAATATAAAAGACGAAAAATCCTATTATAAATAAAAATAATGTTTTCTAAAATTGCGAAGGGTTGAAGTATCAACTGCCTGGATAGCTCAGTCGGTAGAGCATCAGACTTTTAATCTGAGGGTCCAGGGTTCGAGTCCCTGTTCGGGCGGATTTATTTTTTATTTTACCATCAAATCAATCAATATCATTTAATATTGCCCTAAAAATATAATAATTATTATATCGTTTCTTTCGCAGAGAAATCTTTATAATAGGTTCCATTAACTTGATTGAATTACAAGAGCAAAGACGAGTACAGCCGCTTTGAAATACTCGGCTTCCGTTCCACTTTCCTTTCAGTAGAACAGCCCAGAGTTTCCGTAAACTAAAAACCCACGGTAAAATTCTTATAAACGTTATTCCTTGCAAAATGAACCGGGGAACTATCCATTTATCGAACAGTTCGTAAATCTTCCACGAAGATGATTACACGCAGTGGCCTGACTATTCGGAACATTAATTTTGATTACTTTGACAAACTGGAATGTAATGCACGATGGGTGCAGTGTAATAATCACGATAACGAGGGGACCTTCTGCCACTGTCAGTGGAGCGACTAGCTACCCACCAGGCGAACCTAGCGAACCATTATTTTACATCTTACGATGATCTTTCTTTCCTATTAATATTAGTTTGAATTCAAGTTTTATCCGCCAGAGTATTAATTATTATCAATCATTGATTCCGTGATATTATTCGAGGAAAAGCAGTTCAAAAGATACATTCACGCTATATTTTATTATTTGCCAATGACTTTTAAAAATCTGTAAATAAAAATCAGTAAATAAAATAATCTGTAAAATCTGTAAATAAGCTATTAACTGCTCCATTCTAAAAATTCTTAAATTTTAAAACTAATAATTCCTATAAATATGGAATAATAAATATTTGCTGAGAAAGTATCTCGGATAATTTGGAAATTACTTTTTAAAGAAACGACGTGCAGTCTAAGTGTTTGACTCGGGGAACTGTTCCGTACGAACGAACAGGCTGACAGAATTTATGCAGCAATTTAGTATCGAATAACGCTATTTCATTTGCAGTTCTTGCGATTTTCTCACGCGAACGATCGTTTCTTAACGATAAATTTGCAAATTATTATGTTACAGGCAGCAGCTGCGAAACGGAGGACAGCGAGCAGTACGTGCCAGAGTTCCATCGGATGACAAGTTAGTGTGGCAGAAATTTATTCCTCTAACATCTTCGATCAGCCGAGGCAACTCGCGATTTCCCGAGATTCACCTAATTACGTGCTATGTTCCAATCGTGTCAAATGCTTGACGAACCGCGTAACACGAAGGAAGTCAATCTCGATCGAAACGGAAGCTGCACGGAAATGTATCGCATATGCAATTCAAGTGTCAATTTAGAAAGTAGCTCGATACAATTTACGCGAATAGGAAACTACGAATTTGCGATCTCATGACTCTTGCGATTTCGCGACTCGCGTTTATGGCAGACCTCTAATCATACAGTACCGAAACATTATTACTCGACTGAGGATATTTATGCAGAGACAACTTTTTGTGAATGCAACATAAGCAGAAATTTCACCCATTGAATATTATAACCCTAATCTGCATATTTTGTATATTTTCCATACTGCCCCCGCTAAGAATCTGAATATTTTAACCGATTTGTAGGAAGGATACGCGATAAAATATATAAATCAATGAGAAACGAATGATCAAAAGTAACGCATCGTACTTATCATCTTCTTATAGAATAAAATGTTTTAAACGCGATTAACCGATGTTTCCAGCAGTTTCAATTAAACATTATTGCTTGAATTAATCACAACATAAGCTTGGAAGAGTTTTCTTTATCTCACCTGTATCTCGGAGACTGTAGCCAGTCTGGAAATAAATAACTTTCCAGTAGTGTATAATATTTTATTATAAATTTTTTTGAAAAATTGTACCATCGTTTGTTTCGCTCTTACCTATGCGTGTATAAGTTTCTATAGGAAGATGTCCAAATATATAAATGCTTAATTAGTTAAGGTAAATGCATAAAAATCCGCAGTCTAATTATTACAAAATATCTTGAAAATCATATTGAAGATCTTGCAATCTTCGTTCGTTGACAATGAAATTTTTTCGGAGGGGCAATATTGACGAGGATATTAAAAAAAGCCGATAAATCGCCTGAGGCCAGTGTTTTTAAAGCAGCAAGATAGAGTGAGCAGAAAACTGCCGTCGATTATCGATATCGCATTACACGAGGAAGCACTTTATATTAAGTCTTAAAGGCTTCTTTTCTCCCCTTTCTTCAACCTCTGGCTGATTAGCGTCTCTCTACACAACCGCGCCGTTTATCAAAGCTGTTTTAATATCGTACGTAAAAAAAAGGAGCTTCCTCTTCATCTTATTGGGTTGCTCGGAAGTTCGTTGCGTTTTTGGTCTTTATGAAATTTATTCGCGAAAAGTGTACCTTGGATTTTTAAGCAATTTCACATTTCTACGGACATAACGAAAAAAGAATGGAACTGAAATAGGCACACGTTTCGTTTGTTAATTACTACAACAAGTATTCTATTCTGAATATTCTATGCACTTTTTCATAAAAAACCGCGGTCCAATGATAGAAAATTCAATAACCCAGGCATCTGTGAAAACTACCTTAAATAATTCGCGGTGGAAAATAACTTTTCGAACATCCGCCACGAAGCCACATAGTTTTAGTTTCATAAATTTCTAATAAAAATATATCACTTCGAAATTTTCGTTAAGTTTCTCGGAACGATCCGATTCGTTCGGTTATCGCGAAATTCTTAAGAAAATTCCCAGGCTCTATCCGTATGTGTACGCGTTGGAAAATCTGGCAAATATTTCGAGACGCGTCGAATCGGCGAGCAAACGGCCAGGGGGAATGGCGGATAATGTCTATATACTTGCATGCATACGCGTGTTCTCCTATCGTTCGTGTGTTAACTCGATAAAGAAAATTTCGTATTGCACACGATCGTTATATCGTTCTCTATATCGTGCTCGATACACTTGCCAACTCGACTCGTTCAATTTCCACCGTAATTTGCACAATTGCAACCTGGCAGCCTCCCGTACGATGCCGTACATCAAATTTGCTCTTCACCTGTTAATTTTATCCGTTGCTGGACTCGCGCGAGATTCAGCTCGTTCATTTGCACACGTAATACGTATGCAAACAATCAGAGGGAACCCTGTTCGAGGTACACAGGCCGATGGGCGGGTTCAGATTTGCCAATAAACTTTTATTCCAGGCTTTGTTTACCGGATGTTGTTACGCCCGTTATATCAGTGTAAAGTTGGAAAAAAGACTGTCCGTGTTTCTTTCTCTCTCTCTCTCTCTCTCTCTCTCTCTTTCTCTCTCTCTCTGGGTCAATATACATCGTTAAATGAGATGAGGTTGTTCACGTTGTTATCGTTAAACGATAGATTTAGCTTCATTCGGAACAGAGTGAATAATCGTCATAAACCGGGATACATGGAGAGTTGATTACTTTATGGAAAAAAGATCAGGCTGAAAAATACAATTGTTTTGTAGTTATTCGATCGAAGACTACAGGTGAAAAATACGATTGTAAAAACCCTTTTGTAGAGCAGTTTTTAAATTCGATACGTTGCCAACCAGTTGCACGTAGAAGCTATCTTTGCGTTTGGTCCTGTGGTTAAATATATTCTTGTGTCATCTTGTAACTCCTATGTATATTCTCGAATTTGTTCTAGACGTTATCAATACGGTTATACTAATCGAGTCTCGTGACAGTATCGATGAGACTTCGAAATGGAGAAATTTGTACAGCACGTACAATATGCTCGTAAAAGCGTCAACAAGTATTGCGATACTTTCGCGAGTCTCTGTATTTTCAAGAGATATTTTCGAATTTGTCATACTACTTTCCCTTCTTCGAATATTCCACATTAAAATACCACTAATTTCTTTCAGCTACCGAATGACAGAAATATGAGAAAATTAACAAAAATCATCTTCTCGTGTGTTTTGCATCTTTATACTCTTCGATTGAAACTGGCTGTTATCCAACATCGTTTCTAGTCGTGTAAACATTGTTTTCCGCCGCGAAACGAGATGTTCATAAGTTCCACGTGAAACCGTACGATTTTTTCGTACCGTAGGGTCGGCGCGGCTGTTCTCTCAGCGAGTAAACTTCCGATGTTTGCAAATACAATGATTGCCCGAGGCCTCTGACTTATGCTTCCCACGGCCAGAGCCTGTTTGATTTATCGAGGGCGCACCCCCGGCCGCGTAAAATCGTCGGCAGCCCCATTAGGAAGCGAATCTATCCCCACGTGCCGTTGCAACGATGCGCCTTCGCTTCCGCAACGACACGCGCTTTTATATCCTCGCCCTGCCGATCTTCGTCCCAAGAAACGATCCTCGTTCGATCGTTAAAATCATTGACCGTTCGTCTGTACATCCGCGACTCTATCCCTCCCCAAAGACATTTTTTGCATCTAAATGTCTATTCACCCTTGCTGCTTCTGGTTAATGTACAGCTTCGCATTCTTGCAATTTCGTAGGATAAAATTTAACCTTGATACCGATCGACGTATATAAAAATTCAACGTGTAATTTAACTTTCACTTTCGAAGTGTAACTAGAATTTTAACACGTTATACCGCGTTATATAGCGCTGATTGTCTGTTTTGTTTAAAGATAGAGCAACAAGCAATGTAAAGGATAATTTTAAGAAACGACGATATCGATCGTCTTTGACTAATGTTCAGCGTTCGATCGCTAAAATGTTACAGTATACGGTACACTGGTTTTTACAGACGCCAATGTCAAACAGGAATCAGCGAATTGCAGAAGAATCGATGATACTAATTACTCACAGTATCAAACGCCAATGAACCATGCACATTCGCAAGGTAGCACGTTCCTCGATCTCGATCCGGAGAATCGCAGTAATTGCTTCGGGTAAGGAGGACAAATATATCCAGCAATGGAAATTTCAAATAACCTGCTGCTTCTTGTGCATCTATGGGCAATCTGAAAGCACGGAAATGCATGCAGCGTGTATACGTAGTATGCAAAGACACACTGCCATTCGTAAATATTAAAACATCTATTCGCTGCACGTTTCTCATGAAATTGAGAAATTTTTAATTGTTTAAGACTTTACGTTGTATATAAACTGTACGAAACAAGCGAATAAACGCGTAATAAAAGTAACGAAAGTAAAAAAACTTGCACCAAATACACACGTTATTCTTATACGGAAGATATTCTAATATCTGGCCTAGCTTAATGTATCTATATAAAATACCCGAAATACACTATGATATCCAACGCATAAAACAATTTTCTACTTGGGTTACGTTTCTTTTCTTATCTCTAGTTATCCATAATTATTTTTTGATCATCTATGAAGATACGTACTCGCATAGATATTCGCAATATTTCTATTTACAAAAATTAAGAAATTGATGCGTAAATTGTTTATGAATTGAAAATCTAGAGTCGTTTGTATTTGTTCGTGTATAGAAATACTAAGATGAGCTCGAGGACAAGCGAGGCCACGAAGAACGTAGCGGTGAAGGAAGAACCAGCGGACAGAGGATATGGGGAGCCGATTTCCGTGACGAGCATCCCCACATCAACAGCTCAGGACACTCGAAATAGTAAGAAATCTATGATTTGTTGGACAAATGGAACGTACAATTCGATAGATGATATTCTTAGCTCGCTCTCAGGAGCTGTTTGGAACAACGAGATTTCCGAACCGATGATACCCTCTTTTCGAACGTGCACCGTGACAAATCTCTTGACAATAGATCCACGTGGCGCTTTACTACCCTATAGATCCCATAAATAACTGGAGCACGAGGGAAGTACTCGGTGTTCCATCCATTAATCGAGCTCTAGCTCGAGTTGCTCTTCCGGTCTCTGTTTTTAGAGCGTCTTGGCGACCCGAAATTCATCGTCTTATATTTTATCTCCCTCTTCATTATCATTACAATCCCAGTTCATCCAATTAGGACCATTCAAAACTTCCGATATTTCTTGGTTTTTTAGAAAAATCGAAGAAATCAACTAGCAAAATATTCGAACAAGAGTTACTAGCGTTTTACAGACAAACGTGTTAATAACTTACGATTTGTCTTCATTACAGCTCATATTTTCTCCAGCATGCGTGCACTGCTCTAACGTCTTTGTTATTTTATTAAACAGCTTGAATTTTTTCCCTAAATTACAAACGATGAGCGCACGAGTGATTTAAGTAGATTCCAAACGTTTTGCCTTATCACGAATACAAAGGTATTCTTCCATACGGTGTAATAATAAATTAGTTGTCACTCGGTATACATATAAACGATCGTGTATGTGTAACAATGATTTAATTTATTTGACGTAATGCAAAAGTATTCGACCACTTGTACGTAGACATCTTTCGTGATTCTATTATCTGTGTTATACGAATCATTTCGAAATTGCATTAGCACGATCATATCGATCGTACCTCGTCATACTTTGTTGTTATATTTAATTTGAGAGTCACGACGGATTGATTTCGCGTAGAGTCTAGAGGGAACGATTTTGATTCTGGGTCAAACGATTCGTACGGAAGCCGGCTAATAAATTTTCAGCGACGTTTTAATGCGAAATTCCTTAATAATCCCTGACGAAGTTCGTCGCTGGTACACTGGACTCGCTCACGCGTGACTAAGTATACGTAAGTGAATAATTGAAGAATGCTTTCAACTCGAAAGCTACGGAGAAGCGCTTCGTAGAATCCAGCGAAAGCTGCTAAACGAAGGAAAGAGCATAGAATTCTCTCCCGAGGGAGATTGCAAGTCGCGAAAGCTTTCTCTTGCATTTAGGATACAGTTGATATTGCAGATTTTTCAATGAAAAATACTCTTCGAGGCTCAGTGATCAGCTTGATAAAATTCTCGAAGCTTTCAAAGGGAAGTTTCACGTTAGATTTATAGAGCATTGCTTAATAGTCTTCGAGGCTATGCAATCTACACGTATAACGTAAAAGGTAGAGCCGACGAAGGGTTTGCAAGCTCATGCTTTGTAATCAGACCGATTAGTCTTCCTTTATTCACGCACGTACACCAAACGAATCCTTTAGGAACTCCGCTGCTATATTCGTTGGCCGACACCGTGCGCGTATACCCATTTACTTCCAAGTCACCCGGGAATTATGCTTCTACTACGTCTCTTCGCGTAATTCTCCCTCCCATTAAGCCGTTTCAATTATTTACACGCAGTTTAGGTTAATAATAAGACCATACCTATCGATATTGATACACCCTGACACGTATAGTTTCAGTGCGTTCTCACTCGTGAAACGCGTGCTCCTCTTCAATGAATTTAATTCCTGAAACGGTATTACGTACGTCGGAAATCTGATAATAAAATGATCACTTTCCATTGACGAAACTCGTTTCACAATCGTCGCTTGTTCCCTCTAATTAAATTTAATCTTTGAAAAAGTACAATTTTTTGAAAATTCCAACGAAACGACCGATGATCGCTTATGCAGACTGCCAAGGGAGCATGTTAAACGTTTCTGTCTCCCTAGTCCACTAAATCGACCAGTCGTTGACCAATATAGCGGGTGGAATAGTAATAACCTGTTAATGGGTGAGGCAGATTGGTCACCATTTCGCTAATTAATGCCAGTACCCGGCTCACGAGGATTATAGTCGGTCCTCCTGTATTCTATACTGCTCTATTCAACAACTTAGAGTTAAACGTAAACGATATGCATGAATAAACAGTCGTTGCGAATCGATTCGATCCCAGGATCGGCAGAATCTGCCTCCTGTGAATGAGCAGAAAGCAAAGAAGGTCATTTCAGCGCGTCAGGTGGGTGGAAAATGGACCTTGCATTATTAACCAGCCTCTACTCCGGAATTCGGGGTTCAGGGAGACAGAGATAGCAGGATAAAGACAGGGATGGAGAAGAAAATGAGAAGAGAAGAGGGAGGATGAGCGAGAGAGTGGAAGGGAAACAAGAGATGGCGAGAGTAAATGAGAGAGGGAAGAAGGGAAAGAGAGAAAAGAACCGAAGCTCCTCGTCTGAGAGTGGACGAGTGGAGGCCGTCCTCTTTTCCGTGCAACCCTTCTGCGCGCCGCCCCTGACCAGTCCTGGCTTCAACCCTTTTCCTGTTTGGTACATCGCCACCGGTTTCATCAGCTCGCGATTAATTTTAATCTAAAACTACCCGCAAAGCCTCTGCCCTCGCTTGCACGTTGAGGTCAACCCCTTTCGCCCCTCTTCGGAGAGAGAGAGTGCCAGATTGGCCCGTAGCTTTCAACCCTCCTCCCCGCGATTCCTGTCTGTCTCGTCTACACGAGATCGGGATCCGACCGACGTTTGCCAGCTAGGAAGCTAAAGCTAACTTGCCGACACGATTAACTTTCCCGGCCCTTCCTCCTCTTAATTTCACCTCGATGACTGAGATTTCCCATTAATATCGGGTACACGGTGTATACCTTGATTTCCAACCGCAAGCCCTATCGAATAGAATATTCCATGTACATACGTTGCACATCCTGCGAAGTTAGTACGTTTCTTTTTCCACGAACGAACGAAGTTACAGGTTTTTTAATCGACGAGCAAAAAGATGGACTGCATCACGGCTGACAGCGTCGCGTTCCGGCTCGGTATCGGCAAGGGGCTTCTCAATTTTTCAATATTCCCGGTACACGACTTGGAACGTAACCGGATTATGGTTCGAGAATAGCTTTTTCGGCTCGAGGGACCACGGCATCAGCG